CTAAATTAGAGTCTTCCATAATCTATGGCACTCCTATTTCTACACTGGTCTGTAACAGATGATTCAAGACTTGTCATTGGAAATTTCTTTAGGAAAAAAAAGTCTATATATAGTTGAACCACTAAGGACTTAAATGGGAAAAATATTCCCAAAATTGCCTCAACAGCTGCATTCCATGCTCCTGACTTTCCTATCAACATGGGTCACAAACCAATATTCTTCCTCAGCTCCTTGGACCAGTCGAGCTAAGCCAGTGTCTGCCCCCAGCTCAGGACACCAGAATTTAAGCCTTCATAGGAATTTCCAGCATATACTCCAACCCAGTTCTATACTCCTGTTTATTGCACATACTTGAATATAATAAGGTGGAGGTTTTTATTTTTCCGGGGCGGGGTGGGGGGAAGTCTTTTCAAAATCTCCCCTGGTATGGGGCACTTTCTCAATTGCTTTTATTGTTAAAATATTATTTGGGGAACACACATTAATTTGACATGACGTCAATCAATGTTTTGGATATTTATCAGTAAGAAAGAAGAAATTGTGTTGAACACAATTCTCATTCTCATACTTGTTCATTATCTCACAATGGCCAGTGCCGAAAGTTGTCATAAATAAGCCTTTCAAGATGTTTATGCTGTGAAGATTACAATGTGCGTTGAAGGATAATGTTTAATCTTTTGGACAATTTGAAAATGGTGCACTTTCCAGTGACAGCATCAAAAGCAGACTCAAATCGAGCTATATCTCAAGCCACCCATGTCTGAAGTGAAGAAGAAACTGTATTCAAGTTGCATTCGATACTAAAGGTGGAGTTTGAATGTAATTACTTCATGAAATGTGGATTTACAAATTAATACTTGTAAGTTATTATTTTATAAATTATGTGACTTTAAGTGGGTTTGTGAATTAATATACTAAATTAAGCATAAAAAGACATGTGACCACTGCATGTACACTGCTAAATGTTTTCATAATCTGGTTGGCCAAACCCTTTTTTTGGTGGGGGATGGGGGAGATTCTCCTATTGAGAAGTGGGAGACCAGGTTCTGTGAGGATCCTCGTATTTCTGGGTATGTTCTAGAGAGCAACAGACTTGACGAATCTGTATGTGATGCGATCTGGTGGTTGACAAAAGGCAAGGATAAGAAATGCTATGAAAACTGACTTTGGAATTCCAACCTGCTTTGGGTCCTTTGTCAGGAATTCCATTTGTTTCATTGGGTAAGACCGGGGATTCATTTCAGCCTGAGCAGGAGGGCTCCTCATCACCTTTCTTGGGCTAATGCAAGGAACCTCTTCAAAAATTTTACCACTTAAAACTCAGAAGGCAATATATTGACATTCAGCCCTGGCGAGGCAGTTAGTTATAGTAATACTGAACACGGAGTGAGAGCTTCCTAGGCACTGTGCAAAGTGCTTTACAGGTAATGATCACACAATTTATTTTCCTCATTTCAGAGATCAGGAACTTACATAACAGGGGAAGTAGCTTGTCTAAACCCAAACAAATGGGAAATGACAGAGCTAGCATTTGAACCCAGGCCTGCACCTGTTTGCATCATGCTGTACCATTTCCACAGTTTAAAGTAGCAGAATCCATCAGAGAGTCTAAACCTTCCCAGGGGTCCCTTCCACTATCCACAGCACCTCTTTTCCCATATCAGGCCATGGGAGAAATCCAGATTAGTGTTCTATAATCATCTTGGATTCTGAGCTCATCATTCTAGAATGATTGCTTCAAAACTTAGCTGATGGCTGGATCCAGCCATATCATTTTAGTCCTCATTCTTTGTGTAGTCACATTTTTATATCTAAATACCATTTATTATACCTACATAGTTACAGCTCTCCCTTGGGCTAGCAAAACACTCCTCCTTGATAATGTTCTCCTGTTGAGATTTCTCTAACCTCGATGTCCCAGTAATCTCATGTATTGTTTTCTCAGGGCTTTGTTTTCCACATTTGGGCTCCTCATTTTATATTTCAAACTCTTCTAAACTTCAAAATCATAGCTCCAGGGCGCCTGGGTGGCTCAGATGGTTAAGCGTCTGCCTTCGGCTCGGGTCATGATCCCGGGGTCCTGGGATCGAGTCCCGCATCGGGCTCCCTGCTCCTTGGGAGCCTGCTTCTCCCTCTGCCCCTCTCTCTCTCTCTCTCATGAATAAATGAATAAACTCTTTAAAGAAAAAAAAAAAATCATAGCTCCAGCTCTTCACCAGGACTGTTGAGCATCTCCACTTGTGTCTCTGATTCAAAAGATCCCCACAGGACCTCACCCCTTCCTCTTCATCCACCACCCAACCTTGCTCCCAAAACTGATCCTTCCCTTAGAGTTCTCATTTCCTTTCATGGCATCACTGTCTCACCAATCACACTCACCTGAAGCCTCAGACCCGTCTTGGACTCTTCTTTACTTCTCGTGCTTTCCCCTTACTTGTATCCCTAACACATGTGCATTGGATCACCAAATTCTTTCAACTTTACCTTCTAAATGTCCTGTAATCTGTTTCCATTTTGCTGTTTCCACCACCACAATGAAAGCCGTCATCATCTCTCCTTTGGATTATTACAATGGCCATTTGTTGCCCCCTCCTAGCTCAACTCCATCCTCTAAGGACTTCAGTGAGGGACTTTTCTAAGACATGAATCTGACCGTGCCCACCCCTGGTTATAAACCAGCCGCAACTCTTGTTGACCTCTGGGGCACTATCCTAACTGCACAGCCTGGCATATAAGGCTCCTCACAACCAGGTTCTTGGCTCTATTTCTAGTCTCATTCCTATCTACTTCTTGCCCCTTCTCCAGTCGTGTGATCTACGTGAACTGTGATCCCGACCAATGGAGTTACGTGCCATATTCTCTCACACCAATGGTGAGCTCCTGAAGGGAAGTCCTTATCTTGCTTACTGATCTTTTCAGATCCAAGTTCACTATTTATACCTGCACTGTTGGCTTCAGACTTTTTAAAGAAATGTGGTTCCAGGATTTTAAGGCACTTCACAATAATTCCTCATCCTTTCAACAACTCTGCAAGGTGGCATAGTACTACTGTTCCCATGTAACAGGCAAAGAAGAAGATTCCAAGAAGCTGAGAAGCCCGAATGATTACTAATAAGAAATTAGTAAGTGGGTCAGCCAAAATTTGAAGCCAGGTCAGGCTGACTCTAAAGCCTGTGTTTTAGCTGAGACCAGCTCTGCAAGTCTCACTGATGATATCTAACACCATAATTTCACCTTCAAGAGAACAACTGGGAAGCAATGTCATTGCTTTAGGCTCTCATAGGTGCAGCCCACAGGATGCCCAGAGGCAGGTCACTTTGGGAAGTGGCAAGTCCCATACTTTAGTTGAGCTTACACTGCATCCCAGCATCCCGTGAACAGAAGAGCATGGGTGCTCTATGAAGCCCTTTGAGGAGGGAGCCTAGTTATCTTAAGCAGCCCATCTCCAAGGAAGGGGAAAGTCTAGAAAGGAGACTGAACACAGCTTCTGACTTACTGGTCTAGATGGAATACTCAGAGCTTGTCTATCCTGGAGAAGTACAAGTCAAGCTCTGTCCTCCCGAGTCTGATTTATTAAACAATTGATCACATCCTACATATTTATTTCTGTTATCTAATGCTAACACAACACACCTATACTCAACTATAGCCAATGGGCAAATTGCTTCAATAATTACCCATTATGTAAAACATATGTACTAGCTCCTTTATTACTTTTACAATGTGGTCCCAAAAGCTCCAGCCTAAGAACCCCCGGATCAAGTGCAAGATGTATGTCTGCCAATAGCTGGTGTGTGGCTTTCTGCAAACCCATTTCTGTATTTTCATATTCTAAGCCATGGGGTATAGTAGTTGATCCAGAAGCAGTCCCTTTGAATTCTAATATTCGGAGACTCTTCTTACTTTTAGGATGTTTCTCACTAGGTTAACTCTAAGGGAACCTAACCTACATGATTATTTTCATAAATGACTTTTAACATGGTAGTCAGAGATGATAGGTTGGAAATTAATTCCAAGGAAAAAAAAGGACTGTATCAATGCATTCAAACACATGCTAAAGTATCCATGCCATTCAAACATAATTCAGGCCAGCCATTTAGGGAAAGTTTAAGATAATTCTGTGCCTACGTGAACATTATCTCATGTTCATGCATTCACATGTGTGAAAATGACTCTTGGACCTATTGAAATGAGTATTGAAATGCCATCAGGTGCAGGAAGCAATATAAATATGAAAAATCAGGGTAATGAGACAAGCAGATATTATCGCTAAAACTAAGTGACAAGGAAAACACCCAATACATGTCATAGCTGACACATGCCTATAGCAAACCGTTGCTAGGTTCTCAGCAAGTTTTGTTTACATGAGTGAGTTGAACTTCTCGGGACAGGACAGCCTCTGGATCTCTGAGCTCAGATCAAATGATCTATGACAGAGGTGCCCAAAAAATGCCTATTGAATGAATATTATGTGAGAATACCCTTAAGAAGTAACATTATGCAAAAGTGAGGCATGGCCAAGGCTCAGTTTCCATCCCAAAGACGAACCGAGAATTCCAGAAGGATTATTAGAGGAGCTCCTTTTCCATCTTTGTGGTGTGCACAGTCACAGAAAACATTCCCACCCAAATCCCGTCCACGAAAACACATTATGGGAAAAGAATTTATATGCCAACATATTGCTGATGATACTCCTGATCAAACAGGGGCCCACTGACCCAAAACGCAATCAAGAAGGAACATTTTTAAAGGAAGGAAAATCCTGGTTTGGCACAACCTACTGGCTTCACCTTTGAAACACGGACAGCTGTATATAATACTGGTCTTCTGTTAAACCCCATCTCCGGAGAAGCCCCAGATGCGGGAGAAGGAGGGAGCTCTAAAGAAGTTCTCGACACAGTGGGAATCCTCGGAGGTGCGCTCAGCCAAGCAGAGGCTGCAGAGCAAGGCCAGTTACCAGCCCAGGGCTGCAACGTTTCCTCCGGGGGAAGCCGACTCACCTTCCCTCCTGGAGGTGGCCGGGGCTGCAGGCAGGAGGAGCACCAAGCAGAGGCCGCAGCTCAGCCAGGGCGCAGGCATGGCCGGGGCCGCGGGTCCGTCCGCCGCCGAGGGGTCGCTGCGCGCTTCTCGCCGCTGGTAGCTTTCACTCTGAGCTCTGCTCTGCCTTCCCTCTCCTTGATCAGGTGGTTTTATCGACTCTTCTACCTGACTCAGTCCGGACAGGAAGAGAGCCTGTGTTTCAGGGTGTGACTCACCTGTGAATAAGGAGGACCCAGCCCTCTGGAGGCAGACAAACACACACGGCACACACCGCGCTGCAAAAGCGCTCACCCCAGCCGCCGGGCTCCCCCCTCTCGCGGCAAGAAGGTTGCACACCTGGCCTGGGCCAAGGGTGTGGTGCGGAGGCTGCGGCCCCGGGATCCTGCTGGAGGAATGTGCCACGTTCCCCACAGCCCCCTTTCTCTCCCGGGGTGGTCCGCGGCCCGATTCACAGAGGTAGCGAGCCGGCAGCCTGCCCCTTCCTCAAACTGGGAGCCCCAGTCTCAAGTGCGCAAACTCAGAAACCACTCGGACCCTGATCAGCTCTGGTCTAAAGGACTGCAAGGAAAACAGGCCTGTCGGAGAGTCGTAACAGGGTGCCTTCCACCCTCTGGCCTACCCTTCACCACTCTGGGAAGTACAGCAGCCCTCCACCACCGCTCCCCCACCCCCGCTCTGCTAACACTTCTTTCCTTCCCTCCCCATCACCAGGCTGGACCGAGGGCTCCTCTCCTGGGACCCCCTAACTTCCTGATCACCTGGGCTAGCAACTCACGAACTCACCTGTTGACTGGCTGGCCTCCCTATGAAGGCTAGGTGTCACTCTCTATTCCCTCCCTCTAGTGCAGTCGCTGGCTCACCGTCCGTGCTCAGTAAATGTTCTGTTGAATAGAATAAAGAGGAGGACTCAGATTTCATATTCCTTTTACATCTTAGAGCGTTTTCCCCACACAGTTCTCTGTGGGCCCACAGAAAATGTTTGACAAGACTAACCGTGAGTGTCATCCAAGTCCATTGTGCTAAGTGAAGGGAGTGATAACCAGGAAACTGCAAATTTTGCTGTATCCTACATCGTCTTTATCCCTAAGGAGGCTGGTGGCAATAATGTAGAGGCCTCTGTCAAACAGAAGGCTTTGGTTCCTACTAGAGACTTAAGAATTGCCAGAGAGGAGGGCATCTGGGTGGCTCAGTGGGTTAAGCTCCCAACTCTTGATTTCAGCTCAGGTCATGACTTCCTGTGGGGTGGTGGGATGGAGCTGGCTTTGGGCTCCACTCTCAACATGGAGTCTGCCTGACCCTCTCCCTCTGCTCCTGCCCCTGCTTATGCTCTCTCTCTCCCTCTCTTTCTCTAAAATAAGTAAATAAAATCTTTTAAAAATTAACTAAATAAAAATCACCAGAGGTTTATATGTACTCAGTATATATGCACAATCTGTCCAAAACAACCCCTCTACTACTTTTCATCATCAAGGCCTGCAAAGGCTTCCAATAAATTGCTGTTCACTGACTAAATGAATGAATGTTCCTTAGAGAGTTCTATAGAACATAAGGCAACAAACAATACAACATAATACATGATTATGTGTCAAAAGGTATAAGAATTTCAGTTTATGCATGTAATTGAGAGCAGTATGGGCTGGCTGGGATAGCTAGGGAGGGTTGTGTACAAAACATGGACCATGAACTAGGTGTTTGGGAATAATCAGGATCTGAATACAGCACCAAAGAACCACAGGGGGACAGTTTACTGCAAACTGGCTACCATCTACTCTAAAATCTCCAGCAACCAAAAAACAAGGAATAGAAAGGAAACTCCCATTTTTCTCATCCCAAGCTTCTACTCTTCTCTTCTACTCTGTTCAGGATTCAAACAAATAACATAAAGATTCTTCTCTCTCAAAACAAATGGTGTCCAATTACTGCTACAGTTTCAGTTCATGGAGACCAGGTATCTATAATTTTCCCACCTGGTAACTAGTAGAGTTGTAGAGGCTGTAATTGTAGAGGCTAAAATCATGTCCCTGGGTTCCTGAGCCTGCACTTGTACCCATCAGTGTTGTGCAATCCTCCACAATCCTGCAAGAACAAGGAACAGAGCCCTGCAAAATAAAGTCTTGGATGTAAATTTCATTTTAGTGCAGATTATTATAGCTTATTGTATATATACAAATATATATTTTTTCACCTACCATCATTTTTGGATAGTGATAGGAATAAAAGTCATCACACATATAGTACCTACTATTTGTAACTGCTGTTGTAAATCTTTTGTACATAACAACACGTTAACCTTTGAAACGATATTACGGAATAGGTGTACTCTTAATTTCCCATTTTACAGATGAGAAAACAGAGGCATGGAATGGTCAAGTAACATACTCAAAGTTGCACTTAGTAAGTGGCGAAGCCAAGATTCAAAACTAGGCAATCTTGTTCCAGACTTTATGGGTCAGATGAAAAAGCCCCATAAAAAGGACAAATTCACAATACTGAATGAATTCGATATGCAGCCAGTGGTTATTCATCCACATTCACAACAACACAACCAGACTGTGGACAATTGGCCTGCATCAATACAGCCAAGTCACAATGACTCTGAACAAGTGTTTCTGATATTCCTAACCTGTTAGCTTTGAAAGGCCCCCCAGAGGTCACCTGGACCTGGGGTAGAAAATAGGCAGCTGGGCCCTGGGCAGCAGGCCAACTGGCAGCCTATTTGATGTGAACGCTACACATCAGTGTTTCGCCTTTCCTTCCCCTTCTCATTGCCTTCTTCCGGGCCTCTCCACACATCTCAGCAATCTGTCTGGCTCAGACTGGAGATGCCTGCTCTGGCTCAATCTCCTACCTTGCTCAGGGACAATATCAATCCCCTTTGCCAATTTGAGGATTTTTCTGTAGTGTTCTACTGGTCAAGAGTCAAGGTTCTTGAAGGTTCTTGAATTCCCTGGACCAGATCCTGGCTTGACCTCTCTTCAAGGCAGTTTGTTTAGTTTTCTCTAAGCCCCAGTTTCTTCATCTGTAAAATGGGGGTAATGATAGAACAGTTACCTGGTAGGGATGCTGGGAAAATTAAATGCATTAATGACCTATCTAGTGCTCAGGGAAGTACCAGACCTATAATATTCACTATACAAGTTAGCTATAATAATAATAATAGTTGTTGTTGCTATTATTATCACTAAGCACCATCAGTTTTCCCTTATTATAATTACTAACAAATACCATATGAGAAAGATGGGGGTTTTGCTTCAATCCTTCTACTAACTGACAATTCAATAGTAATTTCAGACTTCTGTGAAACTCTTGGTCTAATCCCAGTTCCTATCCAGACTGCCAACATTTACTTGGAAATTGTTAATTAATTTGTATTTTTGCTACATATCTTGAAATTTCCTTCACCTTCAGATCTTCCTGCCTAATGTTTTAAGATTTTTGCATTTAGAACTTCATTTTAATTAAGGGGTAGGAAGATCTTATATTCAGGGAAAATGGAACGGTAAGATGGATTTAAAGAATTCTTACAATTAACTTCAGTGAACACATGCTTTTCGAAAAGCTAGTGAAAGTCTATTTGCTTTTCCATGTGACCCAAATAAATCTTTCTTTTCCAAATTCAGACAAAAATCATTAGGTACTACTCCCCAATAAAAAAAGAATGAACCACTGACACATACAGAACATGAATGAATCTCAAGGCCCTGCGATAGGTGAACAAAGCTAGACAACAAAAGACCAAATTCTAAATAATTCCATTTATATGAATTCTAGAAAAGGTGAAACTACAAGGAAAGAACATACCAGTGGCTGGCAGCATTAGGGGACTGAGCACAATGGGGCCTGAGGCTCATTTGGGGGGATGAAAGAAATATTTTGAAATACAATAATGGTCAAGAGCAATCAAATTTTAAAAAAGCAATCGAATTGTACACTTAAAATAGGCAAATTTGATTATGTATAAATTACACCTCAATATAACTGGTATAAAAAAATAAGAGAAAATCTCAAAAACTTGAAATGATAAGTGAGATGCTATTCAGTTCAAATGTGCAAACTCAGACCCAGGACTAGAAACACACCACTGTCTGCACAGGTTGTGGCAAAGTCAAGGCAGAGTCCAGCCCTAGCACCCCACCGGTTCTCAGAAGCTCTAAAGAGTGCCAGGCAGAAACATTACCCAGGAATGGCAGGGGGACCCCTCTTGCTGGAAACCTCTCTGTTGGGGCAATTTATGAAAGGTAAGAGATGCCATTCTGAAATGTTTGCTTGGAGGGCACAAATTTCAACCCCCAGCTGGACGTGTTCTAGGAAGTGAGCATGTGGATTGTCCTCGTCTCGCCCCCCACTCCCCCAAATGGCCATGTCCATCTAGAAGCCCTGGTATCAGTGGGGATGATGTTCATTCCACACAGTTCTCCGGTTGCAAAGCTGGGAAGGTGCTGGGGCATTTCCTGGGGGCATGGCCAGGAAGGCTGAGGCTGTGGAAGTCCCCAGGTCCATTGTTTTATTTGCAGCTCAGTCATCACCCAGGGGACTTTTCTTTTTACGGTGCTATGTAAATCCCTCCACGGAACTGTCATCTCTCCACCCCCCAACCTCCCAAATAGAATTGCAAGTGACATGTTGATTTTTGCCTTGCGTTCCATCATTACCTTAGCTCACTTTCAGGAGGAATGTCTGGCATGTCACCCACTTTCAAACTCACTTATGATAAAAACTGAAGCACGGCCTGTTCACATGCTGGCAACAGACTGGACTGTGGGACTTGATTCCCTGCCCCGAATCTCCCCAGATAGTTCTAATGATGTCAGCATGTGCAGACAAATTTTAAATGTAAAATACAGCAATCAAGGGGTAAAAAAAACCCAAAAAACAAAAAACACCCAACTCTCCTTTGTTCTTAATTGATAAAGGACAATGTCCATAAATGGAAGTGGTTCAGTGTTCTCTGGGCCATCTGGGTAAATTCTCGAAGGTTGGCCAGACTCCAGAAAACAATGCTCTCTGAAGCAAGCACTCTGGCTGAAGTGGCAGGCTTCCATTTTATGCAGAAACATATATAGCATTCCCACAGTTCGCTTTCAGGGAGCCGGAGAAGCCAGGCCAAATCTCAAGTAATGCCTTTTCCTTTTTAAGGGCAGATGATCCTTTTT